TCACCCTAATGCACATTTAAAGAATCCTCATTTTCTGGGGCTGGGTTTACCTCGCACAGCGTGAGGACCTGAGTTTGATTCCTAGGACGTTCTGAAAGTAGTGTGTATCTGAAATCCAAAGGCTCCTGCTGTAAGATGGGAGGTGGAAAAAGCAGAATTCCCAGAAGTCCATGGGCTAGCCAGGCTGGAACACCAAACAACAAGAGAGTCTTCTCAAGCAAGGTGGAAGGTGAGTAGAAGACAAAGGCTATTTCCCAGACGTTTCTGTCTCCTCTTGAAAACTGCTTTTATCTAAGGCATAAGGCTCCTTCTAGTGGAGAAAAGCTTCACTGCATCGGACCTGGGTGTGCACACCAGAAGAGGGTGCTTTTGCTGCAGGGCCGCTTGAGAAATCATGGAGCTGGAAAATATCTCTTGAAAGTTCATACTGGTTTTCCCAAGCATATTAAATTGCTATGCCCTACATTCCATGTAATCTTGGGTTTCACTCACCTCTAAGACTTTTTGTTTATTATTTAGACAAAAGCTAGTACACCTGATTAACAGAGGAGAGGAAGGTTGTCTGGGGGGGGGATTATAAACACATTTGTGTTTGCGTTTTCATTTGTTCCCTTGCACTAACCCTGTGCGTGTGCTTGTGTAAACAGGAAAGGGGGAAGGTCAGACAACAGATGGGTTCAGGACATCACTTCAGACACAGCACAGGAACAAGATATGGATCATAAGCAAAACCAAGTTCCATCTCAAATAATCTTCAGTCTTCTGGGTTCAGACTAGATTTTTGGTTTGATGTAAGATGTAAACTATTAATGTTAACAGTGACAGAGACTTCTGTGGTCTCGAAGGACATAGGACATTACAGTCATTACAGTCCCCAGGGCTTTCTCTAAAGCAAGAAACGTAGTCTTTCCCACTGTGGGCTTTTCTCCTCTGAAGAAAATTAGATATTAAAGTTCTCTTTTTCCTCTCGTTAGCTGGGGTTTTTGTAGACACAAATTATATCCTGCCCTACCCAGGAAACTAAAACAATGACTAATGTCAAGATCTTTGGATCTGCATGTTCTGGTTAGCATTAACACAGGACATCTGAGTTAGAGAGTTCAGGCATGCTCCCAGTCCCCATGTAAGACAGCCAGAGGGCACAGAAGAATAATTCCTCTCACGGGCAGGCACTGGCCTGAACACAAAACTCACACGATCTCTAAAATATCTAGATTGTTTCTCAAACAGACACAAATCCTCAATATGCCAACATACACTCATACACAAATGCACACATGTGCACACGCACACACACAAACAACCTGGAAACACACACACACACACACACTGGGGTGGGTAGTTATGTTATAATCATTATATTATAATCAGACAATGTCATAGATTATCAATAAAAGATATATTTAATACCTTTATGTACTTTATGAGACTGAGACAGGTACACTACACACACACATACACAACACACACACACGTGTGTTTGCGAGTGCACACCACACATCACACACCTCTCAACAAAGCACTTAGCAACCTGGGAGCTGCACTTACTTAGAGTCACATGCACGCCCCTCTCCAAACAAAGCAATCTGGCCATTCCAATCTACAGTTCCTTAGCAACCCCTTAGTAACCCTTCATTTGTCACCAAATGCATCCTGGAACATATCTAGGAACTAGGGGCATTGAGCTAACCCAGCTCGGACTAGTTTTGGGTGCAAACACAGTAAGGCAAACTGTGTGCCTCAGAGGTATCGAGACAAAGGATATGCACAGTGAACAAAGGATCTCAAGCCTATCAGTCAAAGCAGAAAACTATCCACACTCCATTTCCGACTCCTCGGGGATTCACAAACGGAAACCCCTAGCAACAAACAGGCATACCTGAGCACTCTAGCTTGGGTGGCTGAAGGCTTTACAGCCATGTGGTCTCAACTTCTGCTTTATCTTGAATAAAATCCCTTGCTGCTCTATTTATGTGTGCATCTTCAGTTCTTTGAACAAGACACAAAATACCTGGAAACAGCCAGTCCAGACAGACACCACTAGCCAGGGGACACTCGGGTGCCCATAACTGGGGACTTTCTTTTTCAGCCTTGAGAATGACTTCCCCTGCACCAGTCTAAAGGGTGGCAGTCAGTGACATGAAAGGACAGAGCAGTGCTCTGATCAGTTAATTCTGTCTCTGAAGACAGAGACATTCTTTAACCACAAGTGGGCAAGCTTCAGGAATAGTTAAATCTCCATCTCCTTTGAGGCACCTTACAGGACAAAATTTAGAGAAAAAATTTGTTCCTTCAGAATGTTGAGTGGACCATTAAGAGTGAGAATGTTGACAGCATAGAGCCAAATTAGCTTAGATTATTTTTAGTTTCCTTGATGGCCATTCATTGCCCAACCCAGTGTCTGACCTGACATCCTGTTGACTCTCAGGCAAAATCTTAGAAATTTATTCTTTGCAAACCAAACCCATAGCTTCCACCAATCCAAAAGTTTAAAATATCATCTAACAGCATCTAAAACCTATTTCTGGATTCTCTACACTTTGCTTTAACCTACCTAGCCCTCCCAACAATGCATTTTTAAAAATGCCTTGAGTTATGACTTATTTTGTTCTGTAACCAAAAATAAAGTCATATTGAAAGACCCCCGAATTTATAGAAATAAAATATAAGCTTAAACAGGGAGGGCACCCCACTAGAGAACTTGGGAAGTGAGCAAAGGACCCCATCCCAGGAACTGGCCAAACCACAGAATGGAATGTATGGTTTAGCAACCTTAATTGTAGAAGGGCTGTAAACCCACAAAAGGCCAATTCCGGGCTGCTGACCACCTGTGAAGAACTGACCAGGGCGTCAGGGATGGGCAAACAAGATTCGTGGGAAACAAGGAGATGATAACACCATTTACTTAGGGAGAGATGATTAACTCATACCAAGGTTTGAGGAATTTACAACATGTAGGTCAGGAAGACATCTACTTCCCCTGGTCAGTAGTCACGTACCCCCCCCCCATCACAAGATAGGGACCCCTCCCAAAGGCTTGTGGCTTTTGTCTTTAAAAGCTGATTGTGACTGAACCTCGAGGCTAATCGGTCTAAAAGCTGACCGAGAGGCCCATCTGCAGATGCCTAATTAAAGCCTCTTGCGTGTTGCATCAATTGGCGCGTGGACTCTTGATTCTTGGGGTGACGAATCCAGCTTGGGGACCCCTCCTCAATTCGGGGTACCCCAACAATATAATCATTTCTGTGGTGGAATATGTTATGCAGAGTAGCCTAAATTTATATTCCTGGGTCATGATCAGTTACATTCGGCTCAGAATAAACTATCTTGTATTCTTTTTAAAGTGAAAACTATATTTTCATCAACAATCACATTCCAGTGCTAGAAAAGTTTCAGCAGCAAGAAAATTTTATAATTTATTGAAGTTCATACACTTATTTCATTTACTGACTACCTACTATGTACCAGTTCCTGAAGTAGGAGCGCAGACCCAGAGTCCCGTTGACCCTGCCACCAGGATTGCGGTTTATCCAGTTCTGACTCACACCGGTTGCAAAGAAGTCTAAAGAGTGAATGGCCATTCTGCTTGAGCAAAACATAGTGCAGAGTTAACTGGCAAGCCAAAGGTGCCACTCAGCATTCAAACCAGACTTTACACATTCCAGGTCCTAAAAGTCAAGGATAGGATTCCCCCCAACCCCCCACCTCAGACTCTGGGAGCCCACCTGTTCCAACTTCGTATATAGTTTTAGCAGTTGTGGTATGTGACATAAGAGCTTCTTTTCAAAGAGAAATTTGGAGAAATTAGTTCTGGAAAGACAGTTGGTGGGGGGAATGGTGAAACTGGAAGTCATGGTTTACCCATCTAGGTTTCCAAAGTATATTTGACTACCAATCCACAAGTGATAAAAGACTCAATGGGCCGGGCGGTGGTGGTGCACGCCTTTAATCCCAGCACTCGGGAGGCAGAGGCAGGCGGATCTCTGTGAGTTCGAGGCCAGCCTGGTCTACAAGAGCTAGTTCCAGGACAGTCTCCAAAGCCACAGAGAAACCCTGTCTCGGAAAAAAAAAAAAAAAAAGCCTCAATGGTGCTGCCCTGTAAAGTTAGAGGTCACCCTCAAGCATTTGATAAGGTGATGCTAAACACTCAATGGAGAAATTTGCCCCAAGGATACTACAGTTTTACTGCCACGTAGAGCATTTGCTAAAAGCTGAAAACAACTCACAGTTTACAGGACCTGGTAGTGATGTTGTCTGGGATGTGGAGGGCGAGAGCCAGAGACCAGGAGTTTGATTAATGAAAGGGCAGAAGAAAGCAGTTTCTTCATTTACTATTTCCAGCTGATTGGCTGGCAAAATGACAGATGTTGGTGGACTGCAAGCTAGATGGACAGCTCCCCCAGCCATGGCATGAGAAGCAAATGAGTGTAGTCTCATTCTCCTAGAATGTGGGGCGAAAGAGCTGGTACAGCAACTCTAATTGCCAGCCACAAAAGATGCCAGGGCATGGAGTGGCAGAAACTGTCTTGGAGACAGCATTTCCTCAAGGCAGAAAAGTGGAGCTGGAAATGAGGTGGGCTTATGGATGAAAGTGAGATGAAGCCTGTGTGGTTGTTAATCTTCGCTGTCAATTTGACTAGATCTAAAATCGCCATGGAAACATACTGTTAGGTGTGATTTTAGAAAGGTTTCAAAGAGGGAAGACCCACCCTAAATATGGGTGATGTGCTCCCATTGGTTTGGATCATAGACTGAATACAAAAAGGAAATCGAACTGAGTACCAGTATTCACCTCCCTCTGCTTCTTGACAGCTGGTGAGCTTTCACCAGCTAGGTCTCACGCCTTCCACTCCCTGATGAACTGTAGTCTCAAACTGAGACCAAAATAAAACCCTCCTTAGGTTGCTTTTGTCAAGCATTTTATAACAGCAATGAGATAATAATGCAGCCTGTTAGAGGAGTGCTCTGGGAAGCAACAGTCACTTGGGCTGGTGATTAGCACATCTAAGGACCGAAGACCCACAGACCTGCTGAGTCCCTCAGTGGTGTGGATCAGAGCTCAGCTACAGCAGAGTGATGGGAGCTGCCTGCACATTCTTCCCTGCCTCGTTTGCCAGGAAAATGGAAACGCTGGCCTGGAGATGTGGCTAACACACACACTGGGTGTTTTCATTTGAGCTGGGCTACTGGCATGAGTCACAGAACTTTAGTAGAGGTATTACTACAGTTTATAGAAAAGGTAAGAGGGGTCCTACATCTGTGTACTGCATTGACGTCAAGGGAAGCCATTCAGTGGCTGTGGGGAAGACAGCATCTTAATGGCATCTCCCAGAGTGTCTTGTCTGATTTGTATTATATCAGGGCTGACCAGGGACAGGTTTGCTACATGGTTCTCAATTCTTTTTTTTTCCTTTTTTTCTTTTTTTGGTTTTTCGAGACAGGGTTTCTCTGTGGCTTTGGAGGCTGTCCTGGAACTCGCTCTGTAGACCAGGCTGTCCTCGAACTCACAGAGATCTGCCTGCCTCTGCCTCCCGAGTGCTGGGATTAAAGGCGTGCGCCACCAACGCCCGGCTGGTTCTCAATTCTTGAAGGATATCATATACTCATTCAGGTAGTAGGTACCAGGTCATAGGGCTCTGTGATGTCACTCAGGGTGTAGTTCCAGTATCACAGACTCAGTGAGGAGGTGTTCCAGAATCACTGTCTCAAGGTCTTGCTTTCCCCAAGGAAGATTTGGCCTCTTTGGGGGGTTCTCAGATTCATCAGTTTCCTAGCATGACCCCGGTAAGGAAAGCCTTTGGTGAAGCTCTTCAAAGATGTTTAACCATAGTAGAGCAGTAAAGCAGGGATAAGTAGATGTGGCATGGATGGAGAGGAGAACTCAAGGAATTCCAGGTTTTCTGGCAGTCAGTGACCTCCAAGTTCTATTATGGGAACTGGGGGGGTAGGATGATCACCATGGCAGCCGCTGAGAACTGCCTGGGCAGCAGCAAGACCTGGGGTTTCCAGACTTGAGAGGTAGTCAAGGGTTGCTGGCTCTTACCTGCTCTGCTTAGGCTCACACCGCAGATGGGCCCTTGAGACTACTAGGAAAAACCTACTTCTGCATTCAGGGGCAGGGTAGGGATGTGGTCTTCCGGGCTCAATTTTCCTGCTCTGTCCACTCCCCCGCACACACACCCCCACTGAAACATTGGATGTTATAGATGGATTTTTCTTTGGGCTGACAGCTCCCCCCCCCCCAAAAAAAAGACATGGAGACCTATTAATTATAAAAGCTGGGTCTTAGCTAAGGCTTGTTTCTAACTAGCTCTTCTAGCTTAAATTAGCCCACATTCTTTAATCCACAGTCTTCCACGTGCTCATTACCTCTCCTCCATTCCGTCCATCCTGGTTATTCTGAGTCTGGCTGGCAATTCTGCCTTTCTTCCCAGCGCTCTCTGCCTAGCTATTGGCTGTTTAGCTTTGTGTTAAACCAGTCACAGTGATACATCTTCACACAGTGTAAAGACATATTCCACAACAGCATGTTGTGTATTTTCCCCCCCTGTGACTGTAAAAACAACTTTTTTTTGAGATAGGATCTCATCATGTACCCTAGCCGCCTTGAACTCATAATCCTGTCTCAGCTTCCTGAGTACTGAGATTAGAGGCACGCTCCCTCAGGCCTACCTTCCTCTCCAAGTTCTTTTGGAAAAAGTATTTCTAATATTCATGTATATAATGTATTTTTGATCATCTGTGCCCCTTTACCCTCTCCCTCTCTCTCTGGATTCCTCCCTCCCAAGTTCCCTCCTGCTTTCACGGTAGCTCTTTTCATATATGTTAATTAGGGTTGCTGGCATGGGCAGGGTATGCGGTTATATGCTGAAGCACAGACCACTTACTAGTTTCTACCATCAAAGAAAAATTATTTCCCGCCCTGCCAGCAGCCACTAACTTCCAGTAGCTTCTCAGTGAGGGTGGGGCTTCATTCATCCCTGTCTGACCCATGCTAGAATGTTCGATCCTGGGCAGGTCTTGTGCAGATGACTATAGCTGCTGTGAGTTCGGAGTGCAACCATCATGTCACGTTCAGAAAGCAGTGTTTCACAGCACTCCCCCACACCCTCTAGTTTCTACTGCTTCTCTGACAGTCCCTGGCTCACTGGGGGGAGGGGTTAATAGAAAGGTCTCCTTTAGTACTGAGAACTCAACAGTCTTAGTACTTTGACAAATTGTGAACCGATCCACTAAGTGGCACTAATCTATAGGTATAAAAATAAATATACAGATGGCATTTTGACAGCATGCCCATTTAGCAATACAACAGTTGCAGTAGTAGGACCTACGATGTGACCTCTTCAGACAAGGCTTACAACTGTGCCTACAGTACCAGGCACAAATTCCCTCCTGTTGGGAGCGATCATTGTTAGTTAGAACCTCTTGTAAATACTGTCAGTCTTTTTAAAGAATATTCCGTCCCCTCCCCAGCTTCCTAATGAATAGAACTTGGGCTCACAGGAAATAGCTGATGGCAAGAAGCAAAGATTCCACAATTAGGTCACTTAACCCCCTCCCTCTATGACCCTTTAACCTTACCCACACCTGTTACCTGCTCACCTTCAGTGGCCTGGTTACTAGGCAACGACCCCTCCCTCACTGTCCTGCAGTTTACTGCCCCATCCCCCTACCTCATTTCCCCTATTTAAGCCTGTACAGAACTTTCATTAAACGGCAGCTCGATCAGCCATGTAGTCCTGCTGCCCATCTCCTCGTGTCTCTTGTCTCATTCACTCCAGGTTCCCTGGGCTCCAACCTCTTGTGCCCTGCTGGATAGGGCACCCTCCTTTACAGCAGACTTCAAATCCAATCAGAAAGCGGTCATTTACTGCCCCCATCACAGACATGCTACTATTGCACCCAGCGGGCAGATCTTGCCTAGCAGGTTCATGTTGTAGCATGCACGATTCCCTGCTGAATATACCATTGAACCTTACTCCCCAGGTGGCCTAAATAACATCTCCCAGAACCGTGACAGCTAGTCAACAGAAGGGACATTTCCAGATCAGTGCATACTTGATCTTTCTATGTCTTGCAATCAAATAAATGTGTGAGTTCCAGCAATAGGGCATCTAGTTGTTGGGCAGCAAAAAGCAATGCCATTGGCCTGTATTGTTTGGATGTCTTGTAGGGAAGCATCCTATGCCCTGTGTGGGGATTTTAATTAAATAATTTATAGCTTTTGGGAACAGTACTGTCCCAATGCAGGATACCTCCATTCAAACTCCTTTTTTTTATTTGTAATTTTTAATTAGCTTACAAAGTAGTTTGTTTCAATATGGCTGTAACACAAGTTCTAATAGGTCTTAATAATAAATAAAAGTCCAGAATCAGATATAGGGAAAATGCTGAGAGATCAGAGAAAAGAAGGAGCAAGCCAAAGCCACCTTTACCTAACTAGCTTCCCAGAGTAAAAGAGACCGAGTTCCCGTCCCGTGTCCCGTCCCGTCCCCTCACCTATATTCCTTTCTCCATGCAGCCATCTCACTTCCTGTCTGTCTATACAGACCTCCTGGCCTCTATGGTCAGCTAGTGTCGAGCTGCACCCTCTGACCTTCAGACAGGCTTTATTTGGACAAGCAAGACATCACCACATAAGGCTTTCCCATACATCCTTAACTTTGGTTTTCCCTCCCTCTTCCCCCATCATCATTTAAATCCTCCCATTCCCAATATCCTTCTTCTACTTTCATGTTACCTGAGTTCCACTAGCCCTTCTCCCCGCTTAAGGCCTGCTCTCCCCTCTCATGGGTTCCTTCTAGCTTGCTGACCTCCACAGACACTCCAAATTAAACAGACAAATCTAGAACTGAGAAAGAATGCGTGGTGTTTGCGTTTGGGCACTGAGTTACATCCCTCACGATTTTTCCTGTACAGCTGAATAAAGTCCCATGGTGAGGCGTATGCACTGCATTTTCACTATCCATTCATCAGTTGGTGACATCTGGGCTGAATCCACGCACTAGCTATTGCGATTAGACCAGCAACGAGCATGAACGTGTGTCTCCCCACCCACTCTGAGACTGTCTCTGACCCGGGCTGACCCCAGACTGTATACAGCTTAACCACCTCCCAAAGGCTGGAGTTAAGGCACACACCGCTACACCCGTCTATGCTGTACTGGGACCAGAGCCAGAGCTTTGTTCGTGACAGGTAAACAATCTATCTACAAAGATATAATCCCAGCCTTGCCTGCCACTTTCTGTGCCCTAAGGCAAAGGGTTTAATCTCTCAAAACCTGTTTCTTTACCTGCAAAACGAAGCTAGTAATATTCCCTATGCTAAGTATTGTTGTCCTCATTACACGAGACAATGAATATGGATGTACAGTGACTAGCGCATAATGAGCATTCGGTCACTGGGATATTTTGTTACTCTGGTCACAAGTTTCAGTCTCCCTAAGGAAGTAATCTATGCCCTTCAGTTGAATCTCAGACCACTCTCCCTGCGGGGCTTCTGGCATATGGAGTCCAAGGGTCCCCTGTGATAGAAAGTTTACAGCAGTAGACACTCTCTCTTCTCTTAAGTTGCTAATAAATGACGAAAGAAGCAAAACAACCAGAAGTGTTTGGTAATTTACATAATGAGAAGAGGCTACATTTGCAAATCTCTCATACTGCTCCACCTAGGTTTTGCATAAATATTTGTATGCTTGAGTCAGGGTGGCTGTGAGACACTCCATCTCTTTTAAATACACTGGAGAAGCAAGTCAACATTTACTTTCATTTAGCAAATGTGAAGCAGAACTAAATGCCCTGGACCGAAATCTATTCGTAGCATGATTCATTGTCATGCTGTCCTTTTGAACTAAAATAGGATTTCAATTTCATAAGTTAAGGTTGAAGTGAACTGGTGTGTGACCACAGCCAATGATGCGATTGTAAGAAATGCATTGACTTCATTGGATTTCAATTTCTTGAGGATATTTGAGATACTGCTTTTCACTCTTGACTCGTTTTTTATTAGAATTTATCTCTCTTTCTCTTCCTTTTTCCCTCTCTCCATCTCTTTCTCCCTCTCTCTCTCCCCTCTCTCTTCCTCTCTCCCCCTCCCCTCTCTTTCTCTCTTCCTCCCTCCCTCTCCCTCCTTTCCCCTCCCTCTCTCTCCCTCTGTTTCTCTCTTCCTCCACTCTCTCTCTCTCTCTCTCTCTCTCTCTCTCTCTCTCTCTCTCACACACACACACCACCCATACTTTTAAGATGAGGATGAGTCTGTAACTAAGTTACATTGTTTTTTTTTTCTTCAGTTTAAGAATCAGATGAAGGCAGAAGAGTAAATATATTTTATATGCTAACGGGGGGGGGAGAACTACTACATTCCTGGATGTGACCACGTAAGCTGATGTATCTGAACCGTCTAAACACTGCTGCTTTGACTTATTTTTGAGACAGGGTCTCGTGTTGCCTCGAGTGACCTCAAACCCACAACGGAGCCAAGGATGACCTTGAATTCCCGATCCTCTACTTCCATGTGCTGGGATTACAGGAACACACTGATATAATGGCTTACCATCTCCGTTTGAAAGAATGTTCACCCCTTCCATTACACTTTAAATGTCATGGGGGAAATGTATGAAGGTTCAAGTTCTAGCTTTTTTGCCTGCATTGAAGTCTTAGAAATAGGAAAAGCAAAACAATCTTCTCCCTCAGAAAACTTTAAATTTGAGATTTGCAAGTAAAAAAAGCTGTGCTTAGTTGTTGAATTAATCGATTAAATCCACAGCCAAGCCCATTTCTGACTTCCTCTTCTTTCAAGTTCAAGGCTCTGTTTGCTTAGGCCTAGTTTACACATGACAGTCAATATATGCAGGAAACATGGGAAATAAAGGAATGCCTCTAAGGTACATACATTTTTTTTTTTTTTTTTTTGGTTTTTCGAGGCAGGGTTTCTCTGTATTGTTTTGGAGGTTGTCCTGGAACTCGCTCGGTAGACCAGGCTTGGTCTCAAACTCACAGAGATCTGCCTGCCTCTGCCTCCCGAGTGCTAGGATTAAAGGCGTGCACCACCACCGCCAGGCTACATACATATCTTTACAATCAATGAGACAATAAGACCCAGCAGGTACAAAATTTTGATCATCCACATCAATTGCTAATTAAGAAAACATATTCCAGACTTGCCTACAGGCCAATCTTAAGGATGCATTTTCTCAGTTGAGAGTCCTTCTTTTCAAATGACTCTAGCTTGTGTCAAGTTGACATAAAACTACCCAAGCCACAAGCCTTACACTGCACAGATACTAATAAGTAGAAGAAGGCACGGAATCAGAACAGTTTGATTCTGTTATGCCACCCTGCCACTTAACAATTAAAATAACAATGAAAAACAAAAGCACCAACAAAACACTTCTCATGAAGTTTTGCCTGGAATCAGGGATGGTTCAGGTTTTGTGGAGCCTAAGTAGTAGAATTGGGGAGAAGGGGAGCAAACTTGTTTAAGAGAAAAATCCTATTTTGTGGATCACATAAAAAATATGAGAATGTGAACACAGCATGAGGACAATGACAGTAACGAGAGCCTGGCTTAGCATCCTTAAATATCTATGGTAGCAATAAATAGGGCAGGCGTCCCCACTTAAGCCACAGCTATTTGTCTTGCTCTGTTTGACAGCAACCCAGAGGCTCTGCTTCAGCAGTAGTGACAACTGCATGGACAGACATTAAACAAGACTGATCACGGCAGTCTTCAGCCAGCTTGGTTTTCAGAAGGCAGTGTACTAGGGATCTTGGTCAACTGCATCAGAAGCACATTCCAGATTTCCAGTGTGGAGGCAGCTCTGTGGAATCCTGCAGCCTTAAGGGGACACACTGAGTCAGAGTTTCCCAAGAGAGAAAACAAAATACCAAAACCTAGAGTAAGACAGACACCTGGACAAGCATCAGACATCAACAACCTGGGGAATTCTCGTGTTTACTGGAGGAGGAAAACTCTGGAAAAGCCCTGACTTCCTGCAGGCATGCCTGACACACTAAATTGGATAGTAAGAGGAAGCATATCTGGTTAGGGTTACACAAGGACATCTTTTTCTAGGTCACTCAATCCTCCTTTGCCTCCACTGGATCCTTTTCATGTTTTTTTAAACTCGGATTCACTAATTTGATTTTGTTCATCTGTCTGGTTTTTTTTCCTTGGAGACTCAATCCTGCATTTTCAATGGCTTACTGAACATTTTCCACACATGCTCAATTTGGCTAAAAGCTACCTCAACAAAGAATATGTACAAACCAAGAAAGAAAAAGTTCCTAAAGAGAATGAACAAAGATAAGCAGGCACCACACAAAGGAAAACCACAGGTACCCATAAATGTACAGAAAGATGTTCAACTTCATTAAGGATTTTAAAGTAATGCTTTAAAAAATAATGTTATGCTTATCCATATTGATAGTTTCCCTGTGTCCACTGTTCCATTGGTGATACAGATCTTAAAAAAAAGAAACAACAAAACCATTTTTAAAAATTAACCATGGGCCAGAGAGATGACTCAGTGGTTAAGAGCAATGGCTTCTTTTCCAGAGGACCAGAGTTTGATTGTCAGAATTTACACGCATCTCACAAACCTCTGTAATTCTAGTTCCAGGGTATACAACACCCTCTGCTGACCTTTGTAGGCACTGGGCACACAAGTAGCACACGGACATACACGCAGCCAAAACACACATACACATAAAGTGGAACTAAAATTAAAACTTTCATTTAAAAGTTAGCGGCATCACATATGATCCCAGCAATTAAGAAGTTAAGCAGGAGGCTTTCAAGTTTAAGGGGATCCCAAGCCACATAGTGAAACCCTGTTGTAAAATAAATACACAAATAAAACAAGCAAGAAAAAAGGGGAAACAACAACAACAAATTTAATGTTAACTACAATGTCTCCAAGCTTGTTACCAGCTTAAATGTATTAGTTAAATCTTCAGATTTTTAAAAAATATTTTATTTATTTATTATGTATACAGCACTCCATGTATGCCTGCAGGCCAGAAGAGGGCACCAGATCTCACTACAGATGGTTGTGAGCGACCATGTGGTTGCTGGGAATTGAGCTCAGGACCTCTAGAAGAGCAGCCAGTGTTCTTAACCTCTGAGCCATCTCTCCAGCCCCATTTCCAGCTGTTTTTAAACAAATACTAAGTTGGTCAAATAATGAATTGTTATGCCTCATATATGCAAAAGCTTCTTTTTAACAACTTAGTTGAAGTATAATGGGCATACAATAAACTACATATACTTGAAATGTATGATTTGATTATTTTTGGCTTGAACTGGGCAAAATTATCATTACAGTCAAGATAATATTCATCACTCAATCACTCAAAATCCTTTCTTGTGTGCCTTTTTTTTTTTTTTTTTTTTTTTTTTGGTTTTTCGAGGCAGGGTTTCTCTGTATTGTTTTGGAGGCTTTCCTGGAACTCGCTTTGTAGACCAGGATGGCCTCGAACTCAGAGATCTGCCTGCCTCTGCCTCCCGAGTGCTGGGATTAAAGGCGTGTGCCACCAACGCCCGGCTTGTGTGCCTATTTTAATCCTTCCTCCCTGTCAATCATTGTCTACAACCTGTGTCCCAGGATTCTACTGATTTGTTTTCTGTCAAATGTTAAAGAGGAGTTTGCATCGTCTAGAACCTTATTTAAATAGAATGATACGATGGGTGCTATTTTTGTCTGTATTCCTATCATGATTTTCATCTTCATTTGCCATGTGTCAGTAGTTAATTCTTTTCTACTGTTTCATGGTACAAGTTGAGTATCTCTTGTCTGAAATGCATGGGACTTGAAGTATTTCAGATTCTGAATATCTGTGTGTGATATTTATGTGTGTATGTGCTGGGTATAGGACCCAAATTTAAAATACAAAGTGAATTTACATTTTGTATACCTTGTACACATAGCTTGAAGGAAATTTTGTACCATCTTTTAAATATTTTAATATTTAAGTATTTTAAAACTTTACACACACACAAGGTTTCAATTTGTTTTGTTTTTCAAGACATGGTTTCTCTGTGTAGCTTTGGAGCCTATCCTAGAACTTGCTTTACAGACCAGATGGGCCTTGAACTCACAAAGATGCACCTGCCTCTGTCTCCCAAGTGCTAGGATTAGAAGCATGCATCACCACCACCTGGAGGTTTGAAGGTATTTTATATGTAGCTCAAGACAATTGTTTTTCATCCAATGTGGTCCAGAGAAGCCAAAAAGTCAGACACTCCTAATATAAACCGTATTGTGCCATGTTAGTTCTCAAAGAGTTTTGGATACTGCATAAGCTTGTTTTTCAGATTTTCAAATTAAGATATGCTCAACTTGCAATTCCATTGTATGGTTGTATCATTTTTCTTAATCCCTTCACCTGGTGGACACTGAATTGCTTTCAATTTTAGGTTGTTTTCTTTTCTTCTTTTTTTGCCATGGGAAGTTTTCGGTTCTCTGAAACTAGAGTTACAGGCAGTTGTATGCTGCCATATAGGTGCTGAGAGCTGAACCTGGGTCCTCTGGAAGAGCAGTCAGTGCTCTTAACCGCTAAGCCATCTCTCCAGCCCCTTCAGGGTCTCCATTAGTACCCTTAGGATAAACGTCCAGAAGTAGGATGGCCAGTTCATACAGCAGGTCGGCAGTCAGCTTTAAGCAATGACCAAGCTGTAGGGAGACATGTGTTTCCCATCCCCACAGCAGTGAACAAGGTGAGCTCTCCCACAGCTTCACCAACACCTGATGTGGTCAGTCTTTCAAAGACAGGGATATTTGAGGCATATGAAGTGGTACCTAACTGTGCTGGGTGGTTTTGTGCGTCAACTTGACACAGCTATAGAGTCATCAGAGGAAGGAGCCTCAGCCGAGGAAATGCCTGCTTGAGGTCTAGATGTAAGGCATGTTTGCATTTAGCCATTAATGTGGGAGGGTCCAGCCCCTTGTGGGTTGTTCTGGGCTCTATAAGAATGCAGGTTGAACAAACCCATGGGAAGCAAGTCAGTAAGCGGCTCTCCTTTACGGCCTCTGCATCAGCTCCTGCCTCCAGGATCCTGCCACGTTTGAATTCCTGTCCTTGACTTCCTTCAGTGATGAACAGCAATGCTGATGTACAAGTCAAATAAACCTTTCCTCCCCAACTTGCCTTCTGGTCATGGTGTTCCATCTCAGTAATAGAAACCCTAACCAAGACACTTACTGTGGCTTTATTTTTTTCTTTCTCTGATGGCACACAGATATGTATTTGTATATACATATATATTCCTAAGTATAGCCTGTTGAGTCCATATAATGTTAGTTTTCAGGGCTGCCCATTTGACATTGAACAAAAAAGTTGTTGTGCTCTTCCCTGGGGAGGACTCCCTCTCATACTCCCAGCTTTCTAGGTTGCCTTTAGTGTTGTGTAAGGTTGAGGCCAACTTTGTCACGTTCATTGGTGTCGTTTAACTCACATTTGGGCAGTCATGTTTTTGAGACTTTATGGGTAAAACTTCTAATGCTATTAGGAGACACAATCTCAGAAAAGTTCCTGATTCTCTAGCTCTTACAATTTTCCACAATGTTCTCTGAACCTCAGATACATGAGTGTTTTGTAGATGTAGCCATTGGGACTGGGCTTCACAATTCTGTGTATTCATTGGTTGTGGTTTTATGTAGTGGTCTCCATTTGTTGCAAAGAGAAGTTTGAATGATGAGGATTAAGACTATGC